CACTTGTCCGAGTTAAACCCCATCCTGTTCTCCTCCACCCATCCTTGTAACCTATCTAGGTCTAACTGTAGCCTGTTGCTCCCCTCAATTGTGCCCACTTCCCCCCACATCTTAGTGTCATCAGCAAACTTGAACAGGGTGCTTTGTATCCCCTCGTCCAAATCACTGATGAAGATATTGAACTTGCCTGAATACCTACCATTACAGTGTTATCTGCTTCAGACACCTGTGAGTAATTTGGGCAGCCATTTAATGGTGAAACTTTATTTGCCAAATACAGTTGATTTCCACATTAAAAGCACTGTGTGTTCCAAATCACAGCTAATTTGTGCTGAACAGCCTGGCTTAGCTGTTCTCACCTTTCTAAGGCAAGATGTACTCTGCTTTGCTAGCTGTTCTGCACTGTATGAAGGCTTGTTCCTTGTTAATTGGAACTGGGGTAGATGCAGTTACTCATATCTGTGCTGTGCAGGACATTGTTAAACATTTGCAGCTGCAGACCATGTCTGGGAAAAGAAAAGCTCTCGGCCTCGGGGCTCGCAGAACTCATCAACTGCTACACATGTCAGCCAGTCGAGCCTGCTTCGTGTGTCTTAAACTGTTCCATGCTCAGGTTAGAAATGAAGCCAGGCTCACTGCTGTTGTTTCATAATATGACCAGATAGTGACTTTTCTAGATTCTCTGATGCCGCAAATTTCTCTTCTGACATGCACATTTTAGGATTTTTCAATTACAAAGCTTTCATTAGCAACCTAGAGAATGCAACTTGGTGAAACAATCTTCACATAACTAATGTTCATCATGTCTGTCTTGCATAAAGTGTAATAATTGCAATCCCTTTAGCTAAAGGCCATAGCTTCTTTCCAGATGTTTGCCTCCTACTCCGTATGGCTTAGTGAGAAACTTGTTTTTAGTGATGTAGCTATACCCCTCTTGTCTGACTCAGTATATGGTGTTCAAGACCTGTTGTTCAGTGAACTGAATGCTTCTTAATTTTGCCCCTGACAGATACTGCTGACGGTGTGTCCCAGGAACTCATCTCGGCTGGTCTTGTGGATGGCAGAGATCTAGTCATTGGTAATTACAAGTGTTCCTGTAATATTTCTGTCTTGGGCCATCTTTGCATGTGGAGAAGAGAGAGGCTAGGGGAAGTTTCTCTTGGAATTGTTCTGTTCCCTATGTTGTGCTCAGTATTACTTCCAAAGGAATTTTGCCACTGGGCAGATCTGAGCTCTGTGGCTCTCAAAGACTATAACCTGTTCAGACAAAATATTGGAGAAAATGGTCTTTGTATTTTAACTTCAGGACAGATAAAAGTAAGCCAAGATATAGTCAGTGTAATGGCTGCACTGGGGTTTGGACCCTGCTCTGAGTGGGGTCAGGGAGCTGTGGAGGTTAACGCAGCCATCGCTTGCCCTCTGCTGTTGACACGCATCCCCACTGGGGCTGTGTACCTCTGACTTCAGTAGCAGCCAGCACCCCTACTAACCCTGCCACTGAAATCTTGACCCATCCAAAAGCCCTGTGGACCAGGTAGCACTAGTCTGTGGGCTGTACATTTGAAACCCCTGGTCTATTGGGATAAGAGTGAGGGTTGTTTGTAACCTTGACTGTCCTAATGCCTGCCTGTGGTTGTGTGTGCTTTCAGTTGCAGCTAATTTGCAGAAAATCGTGGAAGAGCCCCAGGCAAACAGATCCGTCACTTTCAGACTGGTATTTATTCCTGCTCCCTTATTAAGCAAATTGTTGTTTATGTGTATAAACATTTAATGGCAAACTTCCCTCATCCTAGTGACTAGGAGCACTGAAATATTATGTTGGTGTTATCTGCTCTGGAAAAAGCCACGTGTCCAGGCAGATCAGAAAGGTTTTGGCCAAGGAGGTGGATTTAGAGGTGCTGTGGACTCCTTCTGTACAGGAAATGGGGAGGTTCCTGGCTATTTTGTGTTGAGATAGAAGAGAGAGTAAGAAAGGCCAAGTGAAGGGGGGGTTTGGGGTTTAGGAAAGCCCTTGATTTTCCTATGAAGGCAACAGGGAAGGATTCTTGCAAAGAGGTGGTGAAATCCAGAATGGCTGATGTTGGGGGGCGGGTGAGGAAGAAAGGGTATTGATGAGACTGAAGGTGAGCCACTGTAAATACAGGGGATTCTTAGGATACTGGGTGCACGTTTCACCCCAGTTAAAACATTAGCTGTGTAGTGAGTGAGCCCTGGCAAAACTCAGTCCCAGCTCTTCAGCACCAGAAGATGCACATATTTAAATGTAAATACTGCCATCTGGTGAATACAACCTAGGGCTTCCCTGTCCTTGCTCCCTCCCCAGACTCTGACATGCCTCATCGTGCTATAAATAATGCATAACATAATACTCTTCAATTTTCTCCCCCATTGTGCTCCAGGCATCTGGCGTCGAAGGCTCTGATATTCCTGATGATGGCAAACTTATAGGATTTGCACAGCTCAGCATCAGCTAAATTACAGCGCCAGGCAGTTTCCCTACTGAGAATCCACATGTGCATATTTCTAATGCTTCTGTTGGCCTGAAAAAACAAACAAACCACTACTGCCAAAGAATTGAACTGCAGCCCCCTTTCTAGGAGCTTTAACAGTTTTCCTAAACAGGATCGCAAACCTTCCTGAAATTACCAATGCCGTTTACAGCTTTTGTAAACCACTCTTGTCCGTGTTTGAATCTCCTTCATCTCAGACGTGCAGATCCAACACTTCATTGCCTGCGTGTTCATTTTATTATTGCCTTACTTTAAAGGAAAGAAAAAGAAAATACTACTGAGTACGAAACAGGGGTTCCACTGCTCTAATTAGCTAGCCTCCATGTTTGCTGACATGCAGTTTCATGTGTGTCCTTTGCTATCTTTGCACACGCTTAACACTGAAGGGACTTTTAATGTTGCTGTTAGACCTGCTTCTCTTTGCATTTGAAATACCAGTGTAAATGTTGGTTGGTCACTTGGGATGCTAGAAATCTGGCTTCTGGCCAGCTGTGGTGTTGCAGCCCAGCTGGTTTGAATGCTGGTGCCTAAGAAAGTGAGCCAAGCCTTAACTGTAAGAGGGCTAACATATTTCCTTTTTTTTAATCGCACTGTTGAGGTTCCTTGAAATCAGTGTCCTAGGAGCAAACATCAGTTCTTCTGCCCCTTTGTAAACTGCTGATAGCCTTAATTTTTCTTTCTTTGGTTTGTTCCACGTTAGCGTCACATATGGCATGGGGCAGATCACCTTAATTTCTCACATGCTGGTTCTCGCTCAGTGGGTGTCCTTGGACTACATATGAGGCTGTAGAATCCTTCTTAAATCAGAGCTGCAAGGCAGCGCTCTCCACAGGCTGTTCTTGCAGGTGATCAATAATACCAAAACGTGACAGGGGAAAAGAAAATCCATACCACTCAGCATTTGGAAAGCATGCGTGTTGAATTTTATTCTTTAAAACATAATACCTTTTGCTTGATGATGAGAATCCTCCATGCACTTCCATGTTCTTTGCAAACAGGTACATGTGGAACTATCCTTGTTCTGGTTTTTACAGCAATAAAAACTGCCAGTAGAATAGTACTAGGCAAGCAATCTCTGGACCTTGCGTCCCTCCTGCACTAATTGCTTGGGTTTTCAGATCACTTCTCAGTCCAAGCGGCCAAGTTTTGATCAAGATGTTGCTGAAACCACGTTAACTTGCATTTAGGTTTTTCTTTGTATGTGGTGTTTTGAATTTGAATTTCTACATAAATAATATAAATTATACTTTGAGTTTAAAAAGAGACACTTGTAATGCAATATGTGAATAATAAATGGTGTTGATCTTTTTTTTTTCCCCCTTCCTACTGTTTCACATTTGGCCTTTGTATCTGCTCTTGGCTTCGAAGTGTTTTATACATTTAAACTGTAAGCCTGTAATTTAACACAGAGCTATGGAAATGTATTTCTCTTTCCAACCATTGCAAACCATACAGAAATGAAGTGTTAAAAATGGGACAACTGGGTTCAATTAGGACTTTTTTTATTTCCAAGTCTTCTACTGAACAATATATATTTATATATTTTCTCTATGAGCAGCTATGGAAGCTTCTTAAATTTTGCATGGTGTTTTTTATACTGCACTTGTTTCTTTAATCTGTAGTTTAAAATCGGAGATCTCCCAACTGGCACTGCCAGTTAAGCACAACCCTGTTACTTCCTCAGTGCAAAGGGGAGGGCGTTGGCATGGGGCGAGGGGAAGAGAGTGAGAGACCCCTTCCTTCCTCCCCCATCAGCCTCCAGATTCTGAGCTTGAGACCTATCACCGGAGTGGAAAGCACACGGCACAGATTTCCACAGAATAACAGGTGGCTAGTTTGGGGCTCGAGTGTGCATGTGTGTGCGTGTTACAAGTTTTGGCACTTTCGCCTTCTTTTGTGTGACACACAGCACCCGAATGGCTTCTCTTTTAAGTACTTGTTGGCTTTGGACGAGCAGGCTGCAAACTACACTTCCGTGAAGCCCAGTGGGCACGAGCTACTCGGACTATGGAGACCCAATAGTCTTGGTACAGTATTACTTTACTTATGCCTGCATGCCACGCATACCTCATTGTTCATTTGTGCACTGGTGCTGAGAGATGTAGGAGTCAAACTGCTCAAATGAAACAATGCAGTATCTATTTATTAAATGAATCCTGCCCCACGTTGATCTAAGAGTAGTACAGTGCACGAGTTCACACTGACCCCTCGGTCTCCTTTCCCCCCCTCTTTCTTTCTAAATAAATAAAAAAAAAAAAAGCAATTCTAGTGTATTTGATATTAGATTGCTAGACTTATTTCTTGGTAGTGATCCAACATTTTGCTTGGGATGCTACAGTGCTAGATTATTTTGGTTTCTGAGGTAAAGTAAGTGCCAATGCTGTTCATTTAAAAAGATTTTTTTTCCTAACGTCACAAATGGATTTAGGTTTTTTTGCTAAATTCCAAACCTAGAAGCAGGCAATATTTTTTTTTTTTTAATTTAGTTGATACTCTAAGGATAATGCTCTATTAATGAAACAGGTTCCTCTTCAAAACTTTGGTGTATTGTAGATTATAATGAAAGATGTAAAATATTCCGCCTTTTTTTTTCTTGATTTGACTTTGTATTTTACTGCATGTATCTCTAATTTTTAATCAATAAAGAACAAATTGTCCATTGCCATGAGCGAGGTGCCATTTTGTCTCCAGAGAAGTTGGATTGGGCATTGGTCTCAGAGCTGGGCAGTCTCAGGTAATGGGATTGTACTGCACAGCTGCACTTCAGTTTGCATCGGAGTATGCTTTCTCCTTCCTGAGCCTTCACTGGAGGTGGCTGGGGAAGGATGTACCCTTGCATGAAGGCTTCACGTCTGCAATGCAGCCTAGATTTGCAGGCTACCTGGGGGTGTCCAGTCCTAGCCATAACAGTTAGCTCCATGTTAAGTGCTATGTTGTGCTCGTCTTTCATTTCCCTCCCTCAATCAAGAGCGCTGCAAGTTGGGATTTAAAGTATGTTCTCCATGTTCACACTATTAGAAGCCTGCAGGGTACTTTCACGAGCCATCTCTGTTCTGTTTCTGCTTTAAAATACTGTTTGGCCCCCTCCACGGTAGAGATCTGATTGAGGAAAGTGTGAGGGCTTCCCTTTAAATTTTAGGCAAAGTCAAGACTTCTCTGAAATCATAGAATCAGAAAATGAGGGCTGGAAGGGTCCCCAGGAGGTGAATTAGTCCAACCCGCTGCTCAAAGCAGGACCATCTCCAGCTAGATCATCCCATCCCAGCTGGGCCTTAAACACCTCTAAGGATGGAGATATTCTGCCAGCTTTCTAGGTAACCTGTTCCTGTGCTTCACCAGAGTTTTTCCTAATGTCCAACCTAAACGTCCCTTGCTGCAACTTGCTCCTGTCATTTGCCACTACTGAGAACAGCCCAGCTCCGTCCTCTTTGGAGCCTCCCTTCAGGTAGTTAAAGGCTGCTATTCAATCCCCCCTCAGTCTTCTCTGTTGCAGACTAAAGAAGCCCAGTTCCCTCGGCCTGTCCTCTCTGTAAAATCCTACCGTGAAGCATGCAGCAGCCAGGCTGTTTGTAGCATCCTACGTACAGCTACATTTAATCATGTAATCCATCTGCGTTAGCCCCTAATGGCAGGGGTCTCTGCTAACAATTGTTCCAGCGTGATCAACTGCAAAAGCAGTAGATGTCTGCTGTGAAAGGTCTTGTTTGAATGCAAGATTGCCAGGAAGGTGGAAATGACAGCAGGTCAATAAAAATCTTATTGTAACAGTTTAAAGTTCTTACGATTATCAGGTGTTGAACCACAGCCGTTGTCATCCATAACTAGAATTGTGTCATAGTTTACACTGTGACTGGACACTGGTTAAACAGAGCGCCTGGGCAGCCTTGTGTATAACCAATCAGTTTTTAACAGTGTCCTGTCGTACTTGTCTATGGATAAATAAACCTCATGTCATTACCCTCTTGCATTAAATACCTAGTGGGCAGAAAATGAAGGCTTGAATAATAGGGATATTACTCGGAGCGGAGATGGCAGCTGACTTCCTAGCGTTCGTCTGGCTTTGCAAACCCTGGGGCTCCAACTAGAATCCAATTCCTTGAACATCGCTTCATCTCGGGGTAGAGATGGGGGCAGGGGGTGGCTTGTTTGTTTTTGTTCCTTGAGGAAGTTTGGAAAATCATCAGAAATTTTTCCAAGTATGATTACAAAGAAAACAAAAGAGAATCCCCTCCATGGCCTTTTCAAATGGCTTGGTGCCCAGGTCCAAGGGGCCTCGAGCCGTGCACTGCAGAATTTGGCTCTTAGCATTTCTGAGGAACATCTTATGCTTGGTTTTCATGAAGGTGCGGTATACGCTATTGGGCTGTGCCAGAATCCGATGGGGGGGTTGGTTCTAGCAGGTTGGGAAGGCAGAGGGTTAAATTAACTAGCTCTGGTTGAAAGTGGTGTTATAAAATGGAGGTATGAAGCCCTTGGGGAAAAGAGGGCATTCCTTTAGCTTTCCTTATCTGTGAGGAGCTCGTTCATGTTTGTTTTATCAGACCCTGAGGCTTTGCTCCGGCATACCGAGCTCCCTGTGACATTGGCTTGAGCAACCTTCCAGCTGTGCTGTCTTGTCCGCTGGGGTCACTTTTCATTTGGACACTCTTATTTCTACATCTGCCTTGTACCGTTTCTCATCCTCGCCCCATTGTGTCGGGCACTGTACAGATCCATGGGAAGAAATAATATCGGTGCTTCAAGCAGCTTGCTGGCTAAATAGACCAAGATGGCAGGGAAGCGACAAAGAGGTGACTGCTCAAGTCCAGGCAAGCGGGCTGGTCTGTGCCTGGGTCCTGTTCCTCAAGCTGCTCTGGTGATGGGTACGCTGCCACCTTGCAATTCTTGTAACACCAGTCCTTGAGGTGGCATGAAAATGTACCAGGTCAGGAAACCTCCCCTCTCTCTTGACCAAGTGAGAGATTGTAAGTGCACCTGTTACCCACCTGGTGGGGTGAAAGTGCTAAACCAGGTGAATGGGATCAGAAAATTAGGGTTGGAAGAGACCTCATCTAGTCCAGCCCCCCGTGCAAAGCAGATCATCTCAGCCATGGGGTAGGGCTGTTGGCTGTAGCTTCTTCATGAGCTCTCCAGCCTGGGTTTGTACCGGGTCCCATGGGTCTTCTCTCTCTGCACAACAGTATGGCTAGTGCGCGTCAGCCACTTCTGTTCTTCCATGGGGTCTAGGCCCAGGCAGAGCTGTTCATGCCAGCGCTTGTGGGGAGCTGTAACTACACTCCTTCCACTCAGTGCCCCTGGCCCAAACTCGGAGCGGCTCTGGTGTCGATGTTTCCACCTGGAGGAGGCATCTGAGCCGTGGTTACTGTGTCCTCAAATCTCCAGCCTGCACGTGCTTCCAGGGCAAACTGCTCTCCCCCTCGTCTCTGTCTGCTGTTGCATATAGCTGGATGACACCAGCTGTGGTACACCCATGGCATAAATGTGCCTTAAACTGCTACTGTGCATTGAAACATGACTTCCGCTTGCACTGCACCCAGGTTTGGACCAAGCTTGCTGTATCATAAAGTGCATAAGGCAGCACATCTTAGTCTGCTGTTGAGTCTTCCAGATCTGGTAGCCATTAACTTCAAGTGTCAGGGTGTGACAACTTAGACTGGCATTGAATAACCGGAGCCCCTTCTGCAGGGTTCTCTCTGCTATCATGTGCAAGGCCAGCAAAAACTAATTGCCTAGTACAGGTAAGTCTTTTTAACTAGTTATGAGTCCAAGGTATACTTTGAAATCTTAAGGCAATTGTAGGGTGGCTTAAGGTATGCACGTGCATCCCATGAGTGTGCAGCTACTGAGCTTGAATTACGGCCGTAGAGTTGTAATGGGAAGGATTGCCTTGCGTGGTGCTCGCTGGTCTGTGCTTTGGAAGCAGGGTCCAATGTAGCCAGGCCTGGCACTAGGGCTGTGGAAAATTTCACTGGGTGTTTCATTTCAAAGCTGTTTCAACTTATTTCGAGCCCCAGGCAGGGAGCAAGTAGTGACAGCAGTCCGGGCAGGCAGATCCTGGCTGTGGTCCCCCAGGGGTAGAGGGAGCCATGCCAACCGGTGTCTGGCCATGCCTGGCTCTGTCGCTGCAGCAGCGACGGGGGAGTGCCTGGTGGACCCTACCTTGGGTCGCTGTCGGTGGGACAGGGAGAGGGGAATTAAACCTCTTCCTGACCAGTTCAGCCCAGGCTACTGCTGGGGCTGGCCATGCCCCCACTACTGGGGCAGCCAGCAGAGAAGTGCAGGTCTGTGCTGGTGGGACAGGGGAGGGAGGCAGGGAATAAACTTCTTCCCTGCTCCCTTCCAAAGCCAGCGTCTGGCCAGACCCCCACCCCTGCCTGTCCCTGTGCGTCCCTGCTCTGGCTGGGGAGTGGAAGGGTGGGGCCAGCCCTGCTTTGGTGGAGCTGAGAGCCCAGCCCAAAGAGCATGCTAGGATGCAGGGGGACTTTGGTTTAACCGAAACCAGGAAGGGGTCTGGGACAAATTGCATAAACTGGATTGAGTTCAATCAGTTAAGTCTGATACTACATTCAACCTAGTTTATCTCAAACCGGTTTGGGCACTTTTGAAACTGCTTTATGTGCACTGAACTTAAGTTCTGCTACAGGTTTAAACCAGTTTCTGATCACCTAAACCGGTTTATGTGTAATGTCTGTCCCTAGCCCAGATGTATGTGTAAAATTGCATTTATTCACATCCAAAGACCAGCATTACAACATATGGCCTGTTTTGTGGGTCCTAGGGCACGTATCTGTTCTCCCAGTGCCTTGCTCTGGTCATTTGGACTGGTCTGACTGGTCAGGTTATGAGAACCGCTCCGCTTGACAGGCTGCACCTTGTTGGGTAGGGGGAAGGATTTCTGCAGAAGACTGTACCTCTTTTCTTATTGGGACACTGTGGGTACCTCTTCATGCTAGGAGAGCCTCCATGACAATGTACTCCATCTGGAAGATTACAAACATGACTTCAGTGAACAGCTTTAAGCCAGTTAGAACAAGCCACTACTCTACTGTTGAAACCAAAAAGTTGAGCAAGACTTTGTTTCAAAATAACCATTTCCATTTTGCTTCTCCAGATCTAGTTGCTATCTGAGTCCATGCTAAACTATATTCTCCCATTGTTAATTTAAAAATAACTTTCTCCTATATAAAGCAATGCACCAGACATGCATCCATTCCAGCCAAGTTTCAAACTGTTGGAAGATTCACTGTTTTTAGAGGCAATAGAGGAAGGAAACAAGGTATTTCCTAGGCCTAATAATACGCTTTGCATTTACTAGCTAGTAAAATCCTCAAGAGATGCCCAAGTCCTTGAGGAAAATGGCGCTTCTTGTATCACAGGAGTTTTAGTCCTGACAATTTTATCCTGCCCCATTTGGTTGCAACTTGCTGGGCTGGATACATGCTATACATGCTTTATTGAGGTGGACACCGATAGCTGAAGCCTCACATTTACTAAACTGATTCTACATTGTGGATGCTCATATTTGAGACTCACAGGGTCTGGATCCACCACTCTGGTATTTAGTCTTTTTCATGGCTGGGGTCATTTGAACCCAGCACACTTTCCTGCCTATGCAGGGGGTTGGACTCTGATCTGTTGAGGTCCCTTCCGACCCTAACATCTATGTAGGCCGCAATCTTCCAGTATCTGGAACTTGTAGTATGCCATGAGGTAGGATACTGCTGGCATCGGGTGGGAAACTCATCAGACTTGGTCAAAATCTTGCAGAGCAGGGTTTTGAACCAGGGTTTTAGAAGCGTGGTCACTAGCCTCTTTTCTCTTTACCCACCCTACTCGGTCTGGGCCTGACTTCACCGAAACCACCTTGATTCAACATTCTTGATAATGTGTTGTGGGGTGTCTGAGTCCTCACCTTACAAACTTGGGCATCAGCACTTGGGTACCCCAAACTGGAGGTTGTTTTGAAAATTGTCATCAGCATCTTATCCCAGGTCATGTAGCAGTGTCGACACCAGTAGTCACCAGGTCCTCTCTTCTGAGCAAGGGTGCATGTGATCTCTGATGCTGCCATGCAAAGGCAATGTCCCCTGCCTATTTTTTTCAGGTAAAAGGTGATTAATACATTACACGCTGTGTCTGTGAAACGTAAAACAATCATGCAAGAGGGTTGAACAGCACAGGTCCCGATGAAAAATTATCTTCTTGCCACTCCCATGTACTTCTGTGGAGTGTGCTTTGTGTTTAAACATTAATTCCCACCCATATGAAAGGGGATTGCAGGACAGTCCAGCCACAGACCAAGCTCAAGATGACAGACACTGCAGAAGTTTTAAAAGCTGCTGGTGACTGTGGGCGGTTTCAGATATGGTTAGTGGTGCTGATTTCTCTTGCATGCCCTAGCCTTTCTTTCCACCTGTTTAGCCAGATTTTCATGGTTCAGCGTGTGCCTCATCACTGTGATACAAGTTGGATCCTGGAAATTAATCCAAACCTGACCAAGGAGGAGCAGTTGAATTTAACTATTCCTCGCAACACGCAAGGCTCGTATGAGGAATGTTACATGTATACTCCAGTGGACTGGGATCTCGACTCCATCCGGCGCTACGGGCTGAATTCCACAGAGAAGTGCCGAGATGGCTGGGTGTACTTTTCCTCTGAAGAAACGCTCGTAACTAAGGTTTGCAACCTTCTTTTGTCCCTCCTAAAACCTGACTGCTTCAGTACAGTAGCACTAATGTTGACTGAAGTCCACCAACTTCTGTAGATAGAGCAAGTTAGGAGTTGTTAAATGGGACTGGAGCTAAGGTAGACGCGGTGTAACGTAGTGCTCCTAAGAATTATATCTTTATGCAATGCATGGGGCCTTGCATAACTGAAGCATAATATAGTCATTGAGTCTAGCATCCTTGGAGACAGGATCAAGTACATACTTGCAGCTGATGGATGATGGTATAGCTTAGGGATTGCCAACCTCCAGCCTGCAGGCCAGATCCAGCCCATGGAGCTATTTGATCTGGCCCACAGGCATGGGACAGTGGCAGCATTCAGCAGCAGTCATTCTCCCATGCTACTGTGAAGAGACTCGGTGGCAGTGGCCAGTGCTGCTGTGGAGGGGGGCTGTTGGGAGTGCCTGGCAGGGCGTGCACTGTGGCGGTGACTTGTCACCTCTTGCCATGAGTCCTGGCAGCTAAGGAGGACAAGACCTTGGTGGTGGGCCATAGTCCAACCAGGGCCTGAGCATGTTCTCAGTGCATCCTGTGGTCATAAGCTAAGCTACATGGGAGGTTTGGCTTGTAATGTGCTTCTCCTGCTTGCATCATTTCAACCCAATCAGCTGAACCTTGAACTTTTCAACAAGCAACTTGGTGCCGAGCCACGGTCATCATTCTCATGTTGGCTGCAACCTGTAGTATTTTCTCTGGCAGCTAATGTTGAGCTCAGTTGTTCAGGGTCACCCAGCAGTAGAGAGGGGGTGTGCTAGGGTTTATAAAATGTAAAGGTCCAATTTTTTATCTTTTTCTTCACAACTTGGTAGGTTTTTCCTTCTCCTTTCTCCTCCCTAGTGGTAGAAAGAAGGATGGGGGTTACTGAGGAGGGCTTATACAAGGAGGAAAAGTGCAAGTCTGTAAAACATTCACTACATCCAGGCTTTGACACTCATTTTCCAAGGGGCAGGGTCCATGTTTAACCTTGCAAGTAAACCACTTGCTGCAGCTTCAATGGGAGAGGTGGTATGTAATACCTCTGAGGTCCCCTGTACACTGTCATCTGGAGTTTGTCACTCTTTTGTGTTCTTTTCCTGTGCTTTAGAACAGCTGAGGTATCTCTTACCCTTACCAGTAACTCTTAGGCTTAATTTCTTGGGAAGCAGTGGTGAGCTGTTTGCGGTAAAATCACTTGGCCTGTGATTTCCCTCCCCTTTGTGGACCCTGAAGTGAGCAGACAAGATCCTAAACCCCCACCGGCAATGTATTGCTAAAAGGCAGTTAATGCAGCAGGAGTGGGCGAGTAGAGTCCCTCTAGCTGGAGGTATTGCACGTGGCCGAAGAAACTCAGCTGGTGTGTGATGCAGGGCTGAGACGGAGGGGTGGGGGAAAGAAACTGAATCATTTGTACTTGCAAAGAGGGTATTATAGAGCTCAGTGCCACACTTAGGGCACATCTACATGTGCAAATAAGTGTGACTAAATTTAATGCACATTAAGCTAATGTGCATTAAGCGATTTTTGGCAGGTGTCTACACGTGCAAGGACTTGGAGATAAAGTTAGTCCCAAGTCCTTCCAGTCCTGCCACATGCCCTTGTGGCCATCGGGGGGAACTCCAGCCTCCAGCCACATGGCTGCCAGCACTTGGGACTAACTTTAGTCCTAAATTGAAGCCATGTGCAACAGCCAGGCAGAAGCTCTGGGGTTGGGCTCAGGCTGGGCAGACCCGGCACTAAAGTTAGTGTTGGGCCACATCTACATGTGTGCTAATGCACTTTAACTACCTGCATTTGCAGGTATCAAATTTAGGTGCAATTAGCCTAAGTTAATGTGCATTAAGGGCGCACACATGTGGATGTGTGTCTGTAATGCACCTTAGCTTAGGTTAATGAGTATTAATGCATCTCATGTAGACATGCCCTTAGTCATTTTTCAGTGCATGCCCTCACTTGCCCTCTTAGGCCCGTCCCCAGCAGAAGACCCAGAAATAAAGACCTCCCCTGGCTGGATAATGATTGGAAAGTGTTTTAATTTGTGCAAATAAAATCCTTTATACCCTTCCCCTCTTTCTTCAGAAAGAGATTTTCATAGCTGCTCTGGGGCTTTAGCACTGTTTTCTATTCAGATCTACCCAAGACACATCTCTTACCTGTCTCTCAGAGCTCAGGTTATCTACCAGACAGGGTGGACTCATGACCACAGCATCTGATCACTTCATGACCTTTCATGGTTTGGCCTCCTAACACCTGAGAAGTAGGATAGTTCTCTCTGTTTTGAAGATGGGAACTGAGACCCTAAGAGTTGAAGGGTCTAATGTTTAAAAGTATTTAGACCTAACTTCTAAAGCAATTAATGATAGGGACTCAAATATGAGGGTCTGGGCTTAAACCTGTGTCTCCCAAGTCCCCTAGATTAAGTCGCTCTTACTTCATCATTAACAACCAGTGCTCCCTGACAGGCATCTGCTTTGCCCTTAAAAGACTTTTGAAATCAGGAAAAGGTAAACACTTGTTGCCTGGCATTATTGTCTGTGGGGACATTGCAGAACCCTTAGGGATGAATGCAGGTAGGGACTTCTGAAAGTACTTAGGCAGGTTACAAAGTACTTCCTTGCAGACTAAAATGTGCTGCTGATGAGGTTGACAGGAGAACACTCCCTGAAATTTTTCTTCTTCTCTTAGCTGATTATTTTTCTGAGCAATCCTTGCACTTTAATATTAATTTTACACCATGGGACCAACACAGCCATATGCCATAGTGCAGCCTGGCTCAAGGGAAAGCCACCGTGGCAGACTTTTCAGCATTTTTAAAAGCTATCAGAGATTTAGGGTGATTTTAAAAAATGGCTAGTGCTGCTCTTCTGCCTCCTAGCTTTTTTAATGACATTCCCCATCTTTTGCCAAGTGTCCATGGTGATAAATGTGCCTCATCACTGTAACATGAGCTAGATCCAACCCAACCCTGACACAAGAAGAGCAGACTCTCCTTTGGGATGCTCATGCCCGTGGACTGGGATGTTGACTCCATCCTAGAATATGGGCTGAATGCTATGGAGAAGTGCTGAGGTGGCTGGATTTATCCTGCAGATCAAAATCCAACCCTGCAGACTGAGGTGTGGAACGAAATTTGGACTCTACTTTTACCGCTGAGAAAGATCACTCTCTGATATGAAGAGGGTGTGCATTGGGGGTTGTCTACCTGGGAAAGTTCTACTGCCTTGTAAATCATTTTACAGCAATGCTAACTTCTTTCCTTTGATTTAGCTTCATTCGGTTGTTTATTTCTGATTTTAGCTGACGAGATGCAAGTAGTTGGGAATAGACCAGGCCAGTAGTGTAATGTTGCATGGGTGAGTGGAGCACGTGCCCCAGGCACCTCTTAAGGGTTGTGGGGGAGCACTAGAAGGACAGGAAAAGAGGTGCCTTGCCCTCCTGTCCCTCTCTCCACTTGTGCTTTCCGGCTGCAGGGAGCCGACAATGTGTCATAGAGTACAAGGCAGTCTGCGAATCACACTTTTGTAGAGTGGCAGTGGAGTTTGCTGCTGCTGGGGGCAGAATTAACCCCATTTTTTCCTGCCAACATCAACATTTTTCTTTTGCCCTCCCAGCACGGACTTTACTGCTGCAGGGGGAGACTTTCACCCCATGGCTTTTTTTTTGCTGCCAAACACCACTGCTGCCCTAGAAAACTACAATTGCCAGAGCACCTTGCACTTTGTGACATACATTGCCTGGCAGCTGCTTGCTGCTGCTCTTGCACATGGGCCCAGGCGGTATGGGGCTGGGGCAGGAGAGGGGAAGGGTGAGAGAGGACAGCCTCAGGTGTATCCTTCCCACATTATATGTCTGGACCAGCCCTCTGCTTGCAGAGTAAGAGCAGCCGGGTAGAGACATGCAAGGTTATACCGATAGTTTGAGCTCAGGCTTAGGTTGGGGGAGAGATGAGTCTATATTCTTCTATATCACAGCTCTTCTCTTGCCCTTGGGTGAGGCATTTAGCTTCTCTGTTCTTCATTTTCCCACCTGTAAAACAGGTAAAACAGCTCTGTCCTACCCTATAGCCGTGGTGTGAAGATAATTACATTACTGACTGTGAAGCGCTCAGCTGCTTCTGGTAAGAGAGGCTTTATAAAGACCTCCGAGAGGTGGAAAGGAGCCAGTTCCAGTTTTCCAGCCTGCATCCTGACCTTGTCCAAGCACAGTGAGGATAAGGTTGTGTGTTCACATGCCCATGATTTCTGTGACAGAACCTGTGTTTTCTAAGGCTTTTCATAAACAGTCAAGGGTTTTGTTGCTCCTCGTCTCCATGCAGGGATGTGTTTGGAAATGAAAGGCGATTTCTCAAACCACATCATTGAGGGAAGTACCAACGGGCTTTAACAAAACGAGAGGCACCAGCCACAGCCTTTCTGAAAATTGTCCTGATATTTTTTTATGGCTTTTGTCATCGTTCATATGCTTTCTTGTACGCTCATGATGTCCATAGTAGATCTACAGCACTTTTCTAACAGGAAATGCATGTAATAATAGTTAGAAAAATGTTCGTGGTTCCCCCCACACCCTTTTCCAGTTAAAATCTGGAATGTGCCTTGCTGGCAAACAAGCAGCCTTTAAAGATGGTTGAAGAATGAAAATATAACTTGAGAGAAGATCCAGTTGGGAGGAGTCTTGTTCTGACTCTTATTGTATCTCTCATGCTTATCTGAGACTCTTGGATGTAGAAAGCAGGCAAGCATACCCTGAGAACTGCTTGTCTTGGGATGTTTTGGTACCTATTTTTGACCCAAACCAGAAACTACAATTACATACAGGGTTAAATACCGAAAGCTCCTTCATTAATGGAAAGCTTCCCATCCTCACACTTATTACCAACTAATAAAGCAGGCTGGAAAATGGTTTTGTGAACAGTGTTGAAGTATTTCCATTTTGCAGAGCTGGAAATGGTTCCTAGTCTCTTCAGCATTTTCTCCAATACCATTCCAAGTCCATTGTCTGTGCAAATGTCAGTTTATTCAAAGCGTCGTGTTGCATAAGAAACAGCTGCTTTGTGCAAAACACTTGATAATTTGGCAGGAAGTCCAATTTCAGGAGGGGGGAGGCCATATTTTGTTGGAAAGGGGCATGTGCAAAAGAATTAAAACCCTGTTGATTCATTTGCCTGTCTGCAAACAAGCTTCTTTTTTTCACTTGTGCTTTTTATCATAACTGCAAACTTTCTGGACTCACTGGTGAGGGTTTGCCGTGGAAGACATGTCTCATTAACAAAGTCTCCACTGGTGACTGGTTGAGGAAGTTCCCAGCACAAGGAATTCTGGTTCTGACTGCACACCCATTGAAGTCGATGACAAGGAAGGTTTCGACTAAGTCTGGGGCTGTGGATGAGCCTACTTGGGTGCATCTACATGTGTGCTTTCCTGCAGAGTTGATTAATTAGCTCCACAGTAGAGCATCACTGTCTACACATAAGGTGCTATTAGACCTCAGTAAACTAATTAACGCTGCCCTAGGATAGCACTGCCTGACACAAGTACTATCCTACAGCTGAGTACTTACATGCGCTCAAACGCACATGTAGCCAGTGACCGGGGCTGAGTGCAGCATGAGGTGCTACAATGCGGGGCTAGCTGGCAGGCAGCCCCTGCATTTGTAGACCCTTGGGCATTTATGCACATTTTTTTTCCCCCCCCCGTGATGCGCTGGAGATCTGCCGCTTCAGGGCAGCCTTGATTAATCGAGTCTGCTCCGCACGCGAGCTGAGGTGAACGGTGCTGTGCCGCGTGCAGTTGTATCAGCGTGCAGGTAATAGCCCCGGCGTGATTTTGAACTAAAGTACCTCTGAGATGTTTTAGTTCAAAAGTGCGCCGCCACCATTTTCTCAGCACTGACATGTATTTCAGAGCTTATACAACGGCATGCGTTGCAGCACTGGGTGCTTTTAAAGTGCCCAGCGCTGCAGCACTTGCATGTGTAAAAATACCCCTTGTGCCCTAACCAGCCCCTCGGGAGCGCACTGAGCTGGGGTAAAGCAGCGCCGGGTTGGCAGGCTGACCCCCAGGCCCCCCTGCCATGAACTGTGCCGGAGTTTATTCAGGCACATTTAATAGCACAAGTTGATGTGCCCCTTGTGTCTAATGATGACCTTCTCCATGCTGTTGTGCCTCCTAGCACTGACTGATGATAGCAAAGTCCAACTTGCCTTCCCCTTTGTGATGCTCCTCAGGGCAGGGACCAATCTGAAACTTTGCCCTTTATTCCTTCCGTGTAAAATCTTCTTTTTCTTCCGGTCCATTTATGGCATCTGATGAAGTAGACTGGTGCCTATAAAAGCTCATGCCTCTCCATTAGTCCCTGCCTTTTTCCTGACTTCAGACTTTTTGATAAAGTGCAGTTGTTGGGCCCGTCGTGGTCCTCTATAGAGAGTGCCACCGGTTTTGTTCTTTGTGAATTGTAAATCAGGATTATGGATTCTAACGCAGTGTCTGAACTGGACTCCGCAAAGCCCTCCGGAGCACCCTGTGAATTGCTACCGACATTTTACATACTCTTCTAGGTACCTCTAAATGGCCACCTACAGATCCCCTTTCCTGCTCTAATTCAGCTTTTCATTATAAGAGGTTTTCAAAGAATGAAGATTCACCCACCACCGTTAGGAAGTCCCAGGATTGGGATCACACACATCTGGCTTGAACTACAGGCAACTCCCACTTAGCGCTGTTTTGCTTAGCGCTATTTCGCTTGTTCTACGTCGCTACCCGATTCCTCGTAGCGCGCGGCGAGTTTCGTTATAATGCTTGCGGTCGCCATCTTGGTTTTTCAAAAACTTTTGGTTTTGCTTGCCATTATCTCCACTTAACGCTCTGTTTTTTGGGAACCAATTAAGAGCGCTAAGTGGGGGTTGCCTGTAGTCTATTATGAGTGGGGCCATTCCTTTTCTTAGAAGTCTTTGTATACAAAGGCTTTCATTAGCCATGGAGTGTGTTAGATTTTGTCTCCTTCTGCATCCTTTTATTGAGATTTCTGTCTGAAAAGTCTTGTTGATTGCTGTCAATGTAGACCATATGTTACGATACCTTTTATGTTTAAGGATGTTGTTACAGATGCAAGTGCACCCACCGGCTCAATTGATGGGCTAATGTTTCTATAAATAATGATATAATTAAGCCCTCTTAGCCCCAGCTAAGAGAAATAAGAAAGAAAGAAATATTCATACAGTAAGAAATATGCATACGTGTTCATTACTCCTAGACTACTGGGAAAAAGAGTTGAAAGTCATTTGAGAGTGAGAGTGGCCATGGGTGATAGGTCACAGTGAGGCTACTTAGATGTCATAGATGTACTTGGGCATGTGATGTATGAAGGAAAGAATAAAGAAGCAAAACGTGATGAGCTACAAAGAGTGACTCATTCCACATTGGCCTGAAGGGAGAGGACCAGTCAATAAGGACACGCAGCGTCAGGGTATCGGGATGAATTTTTGGAGCCTCAGTATCAGGAAAAGCCTCCTGACAGTGAACTCCTTTAGACAGCGGGGTGGTTTCATGGGATATATGGGGTCTGCCCTGGGAGGAAGACCTCTGACCAGTACTATCTGCAAACACATTTGAGACTGGAGTAACCCTTGTCTACTGGCAGCCACCAACGCCAGGTGGTTTGGATGTGGAGGCCAGTTTACCTAGCTTGCCCTTTCTCTCTAGGAATATTTGTGCTGTCGGCAGGTCATGAATTCAGCCATCGATAAAAAGTCCTTTGAAATGTGTTTCTTTCCTTCAGTTTGACCTGGTGTGCGACAGAAAAGAGCAAACGGACATCGCCCAATCCATTTTCATGCTGGGACTTCTCATTGGGGCTTTCATCTTTGGTTCATTAAGTGACAGGTAAGGAACATGGGACGATGGACTTGTGCAAGGCCAACGGCATAAGCCTGCTTGGGGAGCGTTGTACGGGGGCTGGGATGGTCGCAGGACGGAGGCAGCAGGCAGCATCCTCAGGACGCCGGAGCCCCAGGTGAAGCACGGTGTAAACCCAGGCACCTGACTCGGACCTCCGCGTGGCTGCTCATAATGAAACCTGGTCAAATATGGCGGTGGAGATATGTCTGTGGAGAACGTTGACAGTGAAAAGAAAATTTCCAAGGAAATGTTTTATATGGTGGGGAGAAGGGAGATGGGATGGCAATCTGGAAAGATTTCAGATGGAAATGTAAGCGACTGGATTTAATAATGCTGCCGTGATCCCTCGTGGCAGCTGCAGTTGGAGGGCCCCGTGCCTCCTCTTTGCTATTTGAGGCCAGGCTCCCTGGTTAGACCACATCTCCCTTGACCCACTGTTGAGGAGGTGAAACGCCCTGCGGCTGGGCAGCTTGGTAAGAAAACAACAGTGGATTATTGATCCACTCCGGAAGGCAATAATGAAGTATATCCAGAATTTCTGGTTTGGGCCAAAATTGGCTGGTGCTTAGGCATGTGCCTGCTGTCTGGTCTTATATTTAGAGTGTAAGATCTTTGGAGAAGCGACTGTCTCTGTGTTGCACTGACCCGGGGTCCCTAGGTCATGACAGGAGCTCCTCCAGGCTACAACAATAGTAGGGAAAGCCCTGGGTAATGGCCCATGCTGCTTTGGCCCTTTGTTGTGCATTAATATGGAGCTGTGAAACTTGATGTCGTTGTTATTTATTGCTTGTGGATCACTTCACACAATAAAAATTAGCCCCTGGAGCAAACTGCTGTGGCCCCAGAGTTTGACCTCTTTCTTTCTACCCCCAGCATTGGTCGTCGGCCCACAACACTGGTTTGCTTGCTCATACAAGGAGTGTTTGGCATCGGAACAGCCTTTGCGCCAAATTTCTATGTCTATGTGGCCTTGAGATGGGCTATCGGCGCTTCTGTGTCAGGAGTTGCCATCGGCACTCTCGCCTTAGGTAAGATCCCTTTGCTCTTAGGAGGTTTAGCTCCCCGCAATGCATGGCCTTATGGAAAGCAATGGAAGAGGCTCCATGGAGAAAAATTCAATGCCATTATTTCCTATTGAGTGAATGTCTCAGAGTAAAATGGTCTTTATGTACCTTTTCTCTGGAAAAGCCCTGTGATTTTTCATCTGTGTGGTGTTCCTTACTGGTGGCTCACAAAGGCTATTTAACCAAGCCTTGTGGTAAGAGGGAAAAGTAGGGGATTATTACACCCACTTTACAGATGAGTGAGTTGAGGCTGAGATATTCAAAGACAATAAGGGATCTTTGGTGCTCTACAAGAGTGTAATGGGACTGGATTTTCTAGGAAGTGCTGGGCGCTCACCCGATGAAAATCGGACCCTTTCAAGGTGCCTCCAGCTGAGCATCTGAATGCCCCAGACCACAGGCTCATTTTGAAAGCCTCAGACAGTGTGACGCGGCTTGGCCGGTTGATGCAGCAAAATTGATTAGGGGACTGGGAAGCATCACTTTTGAGGAAAGGCCAAAAGACCTAGGGGTATTTAGTCTGGAAAAGAGAAGACTGAGGGTGGATTGATAACAGTCCTCAAATACTTTATATAGGTGATATAAAGATTATAGAGAGGATGGAGGAGAGCTTTTCTTTGAGGCCATAAGGGACAGGACTAGGAAGAATGGCCCCAAGCTGCAGCAGGGGAAATTTAGGCTGGCGATTAGGAAGGACTTGCTGAGTGTGAGGGTGGTCAGGCTACATAGAGAAGTTCTGAAATCTCCATTCCTGGAAATTTTTAAGCAGGTTGAACCCACACTTGGCTGGGATGGTTTAGTCAGGGATGATCCTGCCTTGAGCAAGGGGCCTTGTGACGTCTCTTCCAGCCCTACTTCCCTGTGCTCCTATGACATGACAGCTCGAACCCCAGATTCCTGACGGCTAATTCTGTGTTTTCTCCCGCAAGACCACTGTCCTCACAAAAAAGCTGACCTCACTCAGAATAGCAGAGAAGTCTTTTCAACAGCCCTGACTGAATCTGTATTAACATTTCTAGCCACTGAATGGGTTGGCATCTCCTATCGGCCACATGCGGTGATAATTTCCCACTGCTGGTTTGCCTTTGGACAGATGACTTTGGCTGGCTTGGCTTATGGCATTCACAACTGGAGGATGCTGCAGATTGCTGGGTCTGCTCCCGTGTTTGCTCTTTTCTTCTACGTATGGTAAGTGTGGATATGACAGTGCTCCTTCTGGGCACAGCAGTGCCGTGTGTGGGAAGGGGCTATATGTGTGCTCCAGAGTGGATTCGTCCCCTTGTGAAAGACTTGAGTTTCCCAGGAAAGACCTGGCAGTGTTAAAGCTTCTGCATAGTTGAGGGAAGCTTCTGGGTGCTCAAGATCCTCAGTATCTGGAAAGGCTTCTATTTGGGTGCTTAAATGTGGATGTTGGAGCCTAAATTTTGTCCCTTGTTACTGTATTAACACTTCTCTTGAACCAGAGCAACCCACAAATACCCACCAAGCTATGCATATCTCCATTCCCACACGCTCAACATCAGAGCTCCGACAGCAGCATGGACAACATCAAATTGATGAAGTCAAGTGTGTTACACGAAGGTTGGTAACCAAGAGCCTGTGTGGGTTGAGACCAGGCTTCCTGGTTGGGCCGCAACTCCCCTGACCCCTCGTGGTCTCCATTCACACATATATGCCATCAGAGGTCCTGCACTAGCATGGAAGATATCAAATAGATGAAGTCAAGTGTGTAATAAGAAGGCTGATAACCAAGAACCAAGATCTCATATGCCTCCTAGGGTCTTTCCTGAATCTGCTCGATGGCTCATGGCAAAAGGGAAGATAAAGGACGCGAAAAAACTGTTTCAAAAGGCAGCAGTTATGAATAAACGTACCATCCCACCAGAACTGCTTGATGAGGTAATGGGCACTCGGGGGTTAATCATTCCTGGGTCAGAGTCCTGAGCCCCACGTTGTGCACCATTTTCTGGCTCTGGATTTAGGACCCAGATGCCTTGTTCCAGGCAAGGACCCACGCTTAGACTGACCACAACCTTTCCATTCGCTAATAGGCAAATTTATTGATACACAGTGATAACGGTTGCTGAGGCCGCCCCCCTCCCTCCCAGTGGGTTGGATGAGATGGGCTGGGGGCATGCGCTCTGTCCACGGTGCACTTGCAGACCGCTCCTGGGTGGAGGGAGCCAGGCAGTACCCTTTGTTACTCTCAAGTCTGCTTCTATATTCTCCTTCCCTCCTGATGACTCCCCATCCATGGCTGTCACTGGTTGGTCTCTCTGTGCTGTCCTCACACTGCCCAAATCCTGCGTTGCCAGCACAGTCCAAGCCCATCACGTGCACACCTTTCCCAAAACAGGAATCCTAGGCCCCCCTTTTTGGCCTGGCGAGCTGGTGCCACCTCATCTCATGTTAGGGAACAGTGTGGTACATGCCCCAGTTTCCCAGGCTGTGTGTGTATCCAGTGGCCTTGCTGTGTCAGCCTGCTTCAAAGGCTGTGTGAAACTGCATGCGTGTGACCCAGGCTTTCAAAAATCAGTTAACCCCTGCTGCTCATCCCGAACCATTTTAGCGCATATACACATACCTATTCTTGTAAGCCAATTCCCCAAAAGCAAACCTTTAAATCCCGTTCTTAAGCTATCGGGTATCAGCCTTGAATAATGTTTAAAACATGCTTTGTGCTGCACACAAGCTGTGCTGCAGCATGGATCATCTGATTATTCATTGCTATGGACATCACAAAACATTTTCCTTGGTAGAAAGCGCTGAAAGAGTATCTAATGCTCCTGTGATGTGCTCCAGAAGCTGCTCTCAGAAGCCCTGGTAGTCGCCAAACCCTCCTACTTCATAACAGTGAACAGCTCAGTTTATTCTGTCCCTTTGGGCAGTGGAAGTTTTTCCACTGACTTCCTAAAGAGTGAGATTGGGTTGGTGGGGTCTGTTCTGTACATTGACCTTCTTGTTTTGGGAATTTTGAAGCTGGCCCCTGAAAAGGAGTCCAAGTCTGGAAATATTCTGGATGTCTTCAGGAAGCGGCATCTGAGAAAAGTCACTTTAATTATGTCAAGTGCTTGGTAAGTTGTCCAGATCTTACTACATTTTATATCAACTACTTAAAAATAAAAAATGCAGGGATTGTGCATCTGTGCTTATACCCCCATAGTGGCTGGCACAGTTTAATCAGGGATGATCCTGCCTTGAGCAGGGGGCTGGATTAAATGACTTTATGAGGTGTCCTCCAGCCCTACTTTCCTATGGTTAATATCTGGGTTCTCCTTGCTTCCTAAGAAATTGGTGAGCAAATGTACTACATGTGGAGATTAAAGCACGTGTCTTTTAAAAGGAATATCCAGGAAGGCTGGCGGTACGGTTTTTGCACTGGATGGGGGCTAAAACAACTCGGGTTCGGTTTCCAGCTCTGCCAAAAACTCCCCATGTTGCATTTACCCAAGTCACTTTGGGTATGTCCATATGCTCTTCAGAGGTATCTGAGCTGGGTTGGGTACTGGACGCAGTATCACTGTCAGGACTCCACCTGCTCCTAAGTGAGGAGGATTACCTGAGCCATGCTCCAGCCTGGTTAGAGGCAGCTTAATGATGCCTGCGGGGCGCTACATTGTGCTGTGGAAACAGTCTTCATCTCTCTCTGTCTTAGTTTCCCATCTATGAAGTGGGGAGAGTAACTGTCTCTTACAGGTGCCTTGAGGAGTGTTACTGTCAGGCTGATCTGGTGGTGATTCAGACGGTTGCCTGTTGAACCAACAGCACCATCTCCGGCACTGCCTGATTTCCCTTAGCAGCCTCCCCTGAGCCCTTTCCTGACTGTTTTTAACCCTCCTCATCTCTCTGATCCCAGCCTGCTGGCCAATTAAGAGTGGCTAATTAATTGCTGCTACAGATGTGGTTAGGGATTGCTTCTCCTCCCCATGGAACAAGCTAACAACCCTCCTGGAGATAAACCTGCTCTGCTCTGCTTGGCTTGCAGGTTTGTGAACAGCCTTGTGTACTATGGAGTGAGCCTCAATGTAGGGAATTTTGGCCTGGACATCTACCTGACGCAGCTCGTGTTTGGGGCTGTCGAGATACCAGCTCGCTTCAGCTGCATCTACCTGCTGCAGTGGTTTGGGAGGAAGAAATCCCAGAGCGGCTGCCTGCTGCTGGGTGGGGTCATGTGCTTGATCATCACCGGCATCCCGAAAGGTACAGGGCCTTCCACATTACCTCCCACCCTGCCTGCCCGGTATGTGCCATGCTCAAGCCCCAGACACTTGGCTTTACGTTCCAGCTCGTTTCCACCCATAGCTGAGCTGAACGGGGACTTCCCTCAGCCCCTTACTCCAGACGTCAGCGGCCTGTTCTGGGGACAAATGGACAAGTGGTTTCATTCCAGACGGACTGAATTTCCTTAGTGCTGCTTTCTTCTTAATTACCTTCCTGGCCCTTTAAAACCCATCTGGCCTTCCGAAGGGCTCCCCTGAGCAGCCCTGCCTTCCTCGGCTGCTTTCTTGCCTGGCAAAAGGGGTGTTTTAGAGGGCCAGCCTCCTCTTTTTTGTGCCTTTCCCTTTTGTTTTTCATCTCCCTCCTCACTGTCTCTGCCGCCTCCTTTCTGAAGTGCTGGCAGGGGGCTCAGTATCCTGTAGAAGTCTGGCTGAAGAGATTAAAAAAAAAATGCTCCTTAAATATATTTCTAGACCAGCAGTTTTCTAAAGAGGGAGGCATGTAGGAGTGACTTGTGTTTGTTTCATCTAGACTTGCACCCTAGGGCTAAGTACAGACGGTCAAAAAAACTGAGGCTTAATTGATTAAGTCTTTGCAGGTTAGTCTAAGCTACAGAGATTAAACTGAGAAAAAACTGGGCACACAATTACTTTTGATTCGGGGAATGCAGCCACATGCCTGCAGTGGCTCAGGCCAGAAGCCGGGGGGCACTATAGCACACCTCTCTGACAGCCAGCATGAGCTGTGTGTTTGCTTCCTCTTCCTGCTGCCCCCAAGGTCTGTGGGATTTGCAGTCCAGAATCACAGCAGCAGGACTCTCCAGGGTTGCTCATCATTTCCTCTTCCTGCTTCCAGGTACCTCTTGGATTTGTAGTCCACAGTTGCAGCTGGCAGTAAGTTTTAGTAAGTTTAGCAACAGGGCAGCTTTGTACTTGGGGTAAGGTGGGTTTAACCCCCACTCCCTCACCCCAGACTCCAGCTGGGGTTTTCCTGGGGGGCAGTCCCTGCCCCACCCCCAACACTTTTCTGCTGGAACAGGCAGCACAGCCCAGCCCAAGGCTGGAAAGCATACTGGGATGCCGGGGGATTCTGCTTTAATTTGAACCAGGAAGTGGTCTGGGACAGAAGCTTCATAAACTGATTTGACCCAAATGAGTTAAGTCTGATACTACATTTAACCAAGTTTATCTTAAACCAGTTTCAGCCATTTGAAACCGGTTTATCTGCACTGAGCTTCTGTTCTGTTACAGATTTAAGCCAGTTTCTTATGACTTAAACCACTTTGTGTAACTTCTGTCCCTAGTCTATAGGAGCAGTCGCAAAGACTTGCCTGTTGGACCGTGGCTAGGTAGATGAGATGAGAACAGGGAGTCAGCCTGAAGAGCCATTGGATCCATCCCATGAAGCTGGGGGGCTTTGGCTGTGTTTGGCAGCCAGGAGCTTCATCTATGTCATGGTCAGGTGGCAGGGAGAAGTGTGGCAGCAATGGCACTGAGTCCCACTGCTGGCCCACATCAGACTCGAGCAGGGTTTTTCCAGCCTGCCACCTGAAAACATTTTCGACTAGTGGATTCAAACATCTGAAAAGCCCTGTATTAATTAGGCAAAGGGGATGTTGTGAACAGGACTGTCGGAGTCACCTCTGGTAGTGTTGTACGCAGCTTATACTGCAAGTCCATTGGAGCAGGTGGCTTAGTTGTCCTTTACCTCTTGCAAAACTCTGTCATAAGCCTTATGAGCTAATTCCAGCTCCATCGCAACACCACCAAAGTCATCTGCTGGTGAAACTCCCTGGACTTCCCCTGGGCAAGTCACTCTTTGGGTATAACTGATCATAACTGATCTTGAGCAAAACCCGCAGGGGACAGCACTGATTGATCAGCTAATAAAGGTTGGTCTTTAATTGGAAGCGGGGTAGAACAGTGCTGGAAACTGTGGAGATTCCCCAAGTCTGGTTTTACTCTGACAGGTCACTGTGTAAAATAGATGCTTTCTTACTCGAGGGATGTGCTCCCCGCCTGCTTTCCAAGTTGTGTCCTCTGCCTTCGTTGTCAGCAATAAGATTTCTGTCCTGGTAGCTCCCTTGACCCATGGCAGCTGGAGGGCCAGAAGCAGGACTTTAATGCGTCTCATGCATCACCAACAGACTTGCAGGCTTTTCATCAGATTAAGCCCTTCGTTGCACAGGGGTCACCAAGGGCATCTTCAATCACTGGTTATAATGGTTAACACAACAGCATCCAGCTTGGCAGACAGAAACCAAAGGGACAATGTAGCGCTGGCTATTAGGGGGAAAGGCCTTTGTGCTGGGAATGTGTTTGATCTCAAAATTAATGAAGCAGGAAGAACATGAAGTCTTGAGGGTGGCTTTCCAGGGAAGAACTGACTGCCCTCTGAAAGGGGTCAAGGTGATGCCCAGGGGAGGTGAGGCTTTTGTGGAGCTCCCAGTGTACACTTATTGGGCTGTGATAAATAATTTTGCTGTCTGGGTAATGAGACTCCTATTTCCATACACTTCTTCGAACACCATCTCTTTCTGCCCCCAGATTTGCCGGTGGTGACCACGACGCTGGCTGTCATTGGGAAGTTTTCCATTGCAGCCTCTTTTTCTGTCTCTTACGTGTATTCTGCAGAGCTGTTTCCCACTGTGGTCAGGTGAGACAAGAGAGGATCTTTTGACTTGCTCTGGTGCCCTCCCTCAGGTGACTGGGCTGAATGTGAGGATGAGACTAAGTCTTTGTCGTCAGCGGGTGGGTGTTCTTCGTTTGTCTGTTTAGGGCAATTTTTAGGAAACTTCATGTTGGCTCAAAAAGTACAAAAAATAAGGTCATTCTGACATGATTGCAGAAGGTTTGGATGAAGCCCTTCTGGAAAAAAAGCATTGGCCCATCTCTTACGATTTAGCTCTATCAGAAAACTTCTGAGCCGCCACAGACCCTGAGCAGTAGTCTCATCTTTTCCCCACTGCTACGATGCACAGGTGTCAGCCTCCACTTTTATTCTAGGATCTGGTCGGTCAGCGTGTCTATAATTGCCAAGCTATGTGATAGCCTGCTCAGTGCAGGTCCTCAAGTAGCAAGAACAATGATTAGGCTTCGCTCGGCAGCCGACAAACCCTCAACATTAAGTTGTAAGATTTGGAGTAGAGGCCAAATGGCATGAAAGCCGTAGGATTGCATGATGTCTGGGTGGTCAACAGCAATGACACTGAGTTCCTTGAAAAACTTGCAGAATTTGGTTTGCTTGGAGGCTCATTAGTTTCCCTGGTGTGGACCAGGTCTTGACGGCTGGTGCGATGTGAGCGCTGATCCATTGCTAACCTAGAATCTGGTGGATGAATTTGAACCCCATAGTCAAGTGCTTTGGAGATGGGGGCTTTAGATGTACCCAGGTGGAGAGATACCGTCTGTGTTAATGTGGTGGAGTAATGGTTTTGGATTGAAGCAGTGTGTCAGATTGAGTGATCATGTCTGTCCTCTCCTGTCTGAGAGGCAGCACTTCTGGCCAGCCTGGGCACTCAGCTGGCTATTTAGCTCCAAAGGATTTTGTCATTAGTAAGTTGTCCTCCCCCTCTGCCCCCTAATTCTGTTCCTTAAAGTTAATGATTTTGGGAAACAGCTGCCTTTGGCCACTAATATCCCACAAGCTGTAGAGCAGAGCAAGGCTTGGGAGACAAAGCCATCAGCAGCCCGGCTAGTGCATCCTCCTCATTCCCTTCATGCCTTGTTCCCTTACCAGGCAGACCGGGGTAGGGCTGTGCTCAATGTCAGCCAGACTTGGTGGCATCATCTCCCCTCTGATTGGTCTCTTGGGCACCTACAACTCTGTGATCCCCATGGCAATATTTGGAGGCGCGCCGGTGATTGGGGGGATCCTCTGCTGCCTGCTTCCAGAGACGCGTGGGAAAGAGCTTCAGGACGGCACCGAGGAGCCCATGGAGAACCAGTGGTGGGTCCTTGCCGTGCGTCCGCAGTCGCTCCTGTCCCCCTCCTGCTTTGCCCTTCTGATAAATGGTGACCGCTTCCTTGCTTCCCTCTTCAGTGTCATTCAAGGCACGCCAAGGCCTGACGTGTACTGTGTGATGCACGAAGTGCATGGAGGTTCAGGACAATGCTAGGGGCTGTCGCATCCTAGGGGGCAGCTCAAAAGATATCAATGCTGGAAGAGTTGAGCTGTCTGGCTGTCGGGCTGAGGGAGGGAGTCCTTGCCAGGTAGAGGGAAGAAAGCAGAAGGGGCTGTAATAACATTTGGGGATGAAAAACGAGGCTGCTTTATGGGTGGGTCTAAAATTGTGAAAAGGGGCACGTTCGTCGTCCCGTATAAAACAACGCGGGTTTTTCTCCAGTTAAAAATGAGCCAGAAGCTTTACTAATATGCAAGGGGCCTACGGCTGTATTATTCAGTTTAAGATTGAAGCAAAAGCAAATATAAATTCATTGAAATGAATTGCAAACAAACTGCAGGGCTGGGAAGTAGGAGGTTCGTTACCAGGAGCAGCTAGCAGACAGCAGAATTGCAGAACAAAGAGTAGCTTGGCTGGTGCCACATCAAGACCATTAACACGGGGACAGGGCCATTCACAGCTGTGGATGAAGAGTTGAGAAGGAATCAGGCGATTCTCGTAAGCCACGAAGTCAAGTGACTTCTTCACTGCCACCTGATGAGAAACGCTGCCAGGAAGTTTATGTTAAACTTTGGGTGGAGCAAGAATCAAAGGTGGGTGCAAGTGCACCAGTGCACCCCCCTGATCCACACCTAGTCTCCTTCCATGGTCGCAAGGGGGTGGGAGAGCAGCACAGCGACTGTGAGAAAGTGTACAAGCCCTTGGTAGCCCTGGGAGAGGCAGCTTGTACTTCAAGTATGCTCTAAATCAAGGGGTCGTCTGCTGTATCTAACCCTATTTCTTTTCATTAGGTCCAGCGACAATGCTAGTCCTAATGGACCCCTCAGACAGAAAAAGGACAGGCAAGAGGTGGAAGGCACAAAGACCACGCGCTTCTAGAGGAAGCCCCGGCCATTGTCCGATCCAGAGGAATCAAAGACCAACCAGTGCTGTCGGGTGTGAGATCCACAAGGAGTCAGTTCATTAATTTTTTCCTTCTTCCTTCACTAGGTCTTGACCTCTTTTTTTCCCCATTTGTCTCCTCCAAGCCCCCTCTAGGGTTCCCTAATACACACTACACGTTGTCCCTTTTGTTCAGTGAGTATTGGACAGAACAGTCCGATCTGGAGAAAATAGAAGTTAATCACCTACGGGAAAAAAATCAGATGTTAGAGCCAAATACTTGAGTCTCCCCTTCCCTTCCCTCTCGTCCGTCAGCACCTACGCCGTCTCTGGAAACCTTTCCCAAGCATGAGACCTATTCAGTTGTGGAATAGCCTCGCAAAGCCAATGCCTTGCTTGCAATATGTATATCTGAACTGGATGGAGTAGAAGGAAACAACCAGGTGGATGCATGTTGCTAGATCATCTAGTAAGTCTTTTCATCTCTCATTCCTTCTCTTCTCCACCGGCGCATCAAAACCCTGCCCCTTTTATCTAGCTCCGACCTACCCGAGTAAGAAGAATCAAGCCAGAGGTTTGTTGTAGGAGCAGCAAGTGACGGGCCTAGTGGAAAGCAGAATTTCCTTTAGATGTCACTGGATCTGGCTGTTCAACTGAAAACTTTTGGAGATCCCTTGTGTGCAGGACGGTGCTGGAAAGAAGTGTTTCCCTTCACACAGCAATTTTTTTTCCTGCTCAAGATGCTCTGCCAGCATCAGGACCAGTTTAATTTGAATCTCCAAGGAAATCAATGAGCTGTTTGGAACTTGAGGTCCCAGGGGAGACCGTATCCCACTCGAGGGATGATCCGCTTGGATATTGTGTTGTTTGCTTGTTTGTACAATGCCCCTCACTGTTACAGGTGGGCTTGTGATTTATCCTCACAGTGAAGGAAAGCCGCTCCCCTCCCTACGCTGCACCTTCCCAGACTGCCTGGTCAGACCAGTCGCTTGCTCTGGGCGAAGCTTGGAGCAGAGGCAGCCCTCCTGTGCTTTGCTTGACCGCCTGCAGCTCGGTGCCAGTTGCACTGCCATTGCCTAACTCAAAGAAGACTCAATTTTGCTTCACCAGGACGCCCGGTGAAACCCCTGTTGGCAGTTTTCCCATGTGATGAGTTTTCTGCTTATTTTGTGGTTAAACTGAATCAGATGTGATGGAAAAGCATCAACATGGGGTTGCAGATTCAACCTCACCTGCTTCCTGGGACTGTGGCCTGCAAGGCATCCCTTGTGGCCAGTGAACTCTAGTGTACGGAGTCCACTGGTGGAGGGTGATGCCATGTTGCCATCTGTCAGGACACGTATGGATGAGTGCTCTCATGCCAGGTGTTGTCTGACCTCAAGGGCCCCCTTTTCCCTCAAGCCTTTGTGTAAGAGAATGAGGGAAAGGACTGGAACGTGTGCGGGCCCTGGAAGAGGGGAAATCATGGAGTAATTATGGACAATCTTGGACACCCGCTACCAGCTTCTTGGATTAAGCTTGTTTTATAAATAAAAATTATCCGAGTATGTTGGAATATCAATTGTTCTTCCATCTTACTGACAGTCTCTACATCATATCAATAGTATTTACCACTGTCAAGATGAGGATTGCAAATGGTGGGAGACATATGTGCACACGTCTGGCACATGCATGCTCGGTGGGAGAGTTGCACATGCTGGCTGTGTTTAATGGGGTTTGTGAATTTGGGAGCAGGGGCTGGGGTTGGCAGTTGTGTACTGGGAGCATGTTTCATGAGCACCACGTTAGGATTTGGAGCCTTCTGAGCTTTTCTGCAGTAGTTATAGGTTATCAGGCCCTCCCGGTGCTAGGTGCTGTACAAACAGGTAGGATAGAGCAGACAGACATAGGAAAAAAGGATGCAGAGAGAGAGGTGAAGGGACTTGCCCAAAGTCGCACGGAAAGGCTGTGGCAGACACTGTCGTTGGAGTCTCAGTTCAGCATCCTACTACCGCGGGGGGACTAGAGGTTGCTGCAGTCGCTCACTCTCACATGTCTCTATTGGTTTGATCTGGATGGGGATCCCATGAGCTTTACAGCTTGCTAGGGATTTGACTGGACCAGGAAGACCAGGGGAATGATGTTCTCTTGTGGTTTTACACACCACACCTAGGTGCTCAAGGGTGGAAAAGGGCTGGATGTGTTACCAAAGGTACAAAGGAGTTGATGACATTTCTTACGAGGCTGCACCCAGGGGCCCTGGAGATGTTTGCTGGGGCAGTGGGGGACTGTCCTGGGATCCTTCTCTCCAAAAGCACAGGGTGCAATCGGGGCTGGCTCTCTCATCTGAGGGGGAAGTCAAGTGTGTGTGCATGTCCACGGGGTGCATACTGTGGGGGAGAGCTTAGTAGGGCTGAAGAAGAAAGTCAAGGACGGGAACAGAGTGGAAATGCTGAGGTTTAGCTAGAAGGGCTGATGGGGGTTTGGGTTGTGCAGTGCCTGAGGTGTCGGGGATGGGCAGTTCACCTCCAGGAGGAAGCACGGCAAGTACTCTGGGAGGAAGGGCCTTCTGCCATGGAGCATTGCTGAATTATTACATGTGATGCCAAGTTGCTGCGTGACCCTTAAGCTCAGCTGGTGCCTAGGTATTCATGTGAGGGCTAACACACATGTGCATGTGAACACGAGCCCATTCAGTTAGCCCGAGCAGTTAAAGTGCAGCTCTTCAGGCAGGGCCATCTGGGAGATGATAAACCCTGGCAGTCCAGAAGGGCACACTCCCTGAGGGACCCACGCCAAGGTGCAGGCTACAAAGGCTCTGGCCAGCACCGAGGAAGGCTGCGGGGAGCACTGATTTAGCCAGGCCACCGGGTTTTCACTCCTGGGCTGGGTTATGGGCTGAGAACTTGGTGGTCCTCATAGCCCCTTCTTCTGAGGACGGAGGCTTATGAAGGTTGGGAAAAACTGGCAAATTGGGGCAACCATGAGGTTCACCATCAAAGCCTTTCCACAGCCAGGCTAGACTCCTTCTGAAGGGTCACTTGAACCTTGAAGGATGCTCCCAAGTGCTAGAGACACCTGTTCGTACCTCTCCCACCACCCATCTTCAGGGGTCCAGGGGCCTCCCCTATTCCTCGCCTGCACTGCCCCACCTTACAGCTGTCATATGACCCGACCCGAGACTCAGAAGGACCATGGGAGAAACTACCCTCATCGCTGCGGTCTCGAGCGCTCCCCTCTCTTCCGTGCCCTGGAGCGCCTCGGGTGACTGGGAAGAGCGGACTGCGTTGGGCAGCAGGCGATTCACTCTTTCAGAGCTGGAGGAAATCACTGCACTGACGCTGGGAAGTTGTCCAGGGGCTCCCAGCCAGGATGTCCCTTGAGCAGGGGCCTGAATGAGAAGCATCATTTGAGGTCCCTCTAGGCCTCTAGTTGGTCCTTCACACCTTTTGGATCCCTTCCAGTTTGTGATTACTTTGTCTAGAGGAAGGAAATAAGGTTTGTGGCCACCCTGGGTTGTACAGCAAAGTCTTTTTTTAATTTTTCCTATGGAGTAATGTTCACTGGGAATTTTCCAAAGCAGGAGAGGCAATTGGCACATGTTGAGTTTTCCTTTCTCCCTGATGAGTTCACAGATTTACCGTTTGCTGTGGTAAGGGGAGCAGCAAACAGTGCCTGGTACTACCTTGGAGAAGCATTATATACGGTCTGTTATAAAGTGACTAGAAATGAGCCCGACATCTGGGGGTGCTCAGGGTTTCTCCCTTGGTAAAAGTATTGAGGCACGTATTCCCGACCTGAACACCAACAGAGTTTTGGAGAGAAAGATCAACTGCAATTGAATTTAGGTCTCTTAAGTGCCAACCCCTTACTAACTATAAGACACGTGCACAGTAAAAGACTTCAGAAGGATAAGAAACTATTAGGCTAGGTTAACCTGAGCTGGTGAAATCATTCAAAGAGGATCAGTAAATAGATTTCTACAGGGCTGGACTGGCCCCTGGGTAGCTTTTCCAAGTACTTTTTTTTTTTTATGGATTTGGTCTTTTAAACTAGAAAGGCAGATTTTCCCTCTGTTATCAGTATTTCCTGCACAGTTTGACATGACTCACTTGCCTGCTCTCACTGTGGCAGGAAGGATGTTTCAACTATTAATCTCTTTACCTGTTGTCTCCTGTCAGAGGCATGTGTGCAAAGCCTGCAAACAGTGCCTATGCTTGGCTCCTAATCTCCTATGTACATCTGGACCTTTGTTAAGATTAGTAAAGGGGCGAAAAAGGTGGGACACATGCTTGTTGAATGAGCGTAATACAACATCACCTATACAGACAAGGGCGCGCATCTATTATTGCAGAATATCCAAGCAGGTAGCAGCCTTAGATTAATTTATTTTCTTAGAGCTTCCCATCTCAAGAGGGGAGCTATTTGCCCCATTGTAATGACTGGGAGCTTGTCACAGGACCAGGTATGTCTGTTGTGGAGCTGGGGACTAAACCAACATCTCCCAAGGGATAGGCTGGTGCCCCACGAAAAGTGCCTTCATCTTTTCTAGGGGTCCCTATTGGATTGGGCTGTTGGCCAAAAGCTGTTACTTTCCACATCTTCCTCTCCTTCCCCTGCCCAGGAACAGGGTAGTATTTCTCACGGTAGAGAACAGACACGGCTTTGATTGCAATAGATATGAACTATGAGGAGGATGCTTTATTCAGACACAGCCCTGTTTCTGACTCCCCTTTACTGCTGAGTAAAGCTATTACTCACCATCTCAGGTGCTTGCTTTCTATTTATGGTAGCTCTTGTGACTGCCTTCTCACTTTCATCCTTTAATGGGTACTTTCAAAGTTTCTATGCCCTGTGGATTAAGGGGCTGCATCCAGACGAGTGCAGACGTGTGGTATGTGGCGCCGCAGACCCGCCTGCCATGCCACACACTGTACCGGCAGGCGCTCCCTGCACCGCTATTTTGCAGCATGGGTGTGTTTTTTGACCCTGGGATCTCCTGGAGTAAAAAAAAACCCACAGCAAAAAAAACTGGAGTGGCGCATGGGGCAGCAGGGTGTGCTGCCCAAAAGTGGAGCCTGGCCAGCCAGAGCCACTCTCTGTGGCTGCAGCTCCCCGAGGCCCCCAGGTAAGGCTGCTGGGGCCAGCAAGCGTGGACACCAGAGCGCATGTGGCATGGGCCAAGTAGCAGTGGCACAAATGTCTTTGCTTGTCCCAGGAAGTCTAATGTTGGGCTTTGCCTATTACAAATCCAGAGAAAAAGAGAGATGAAAAGGACCTCAGGAGATCATCTAGCTCACCCCCTTGCTCAAGGCAGGATCATACCTGTCTAAACCATCCCAGACGTGCATAAACTTCCAGCGACAGAGACTCCATGCTCTCTCTAGGTTGCAAATCTTTGCTTGCCAGGGGTATGCTATTTATTTCCTCAACTTCATTGCTATCATCATTCTTGTGCTTAGGATAGTAACTATTCCCGGTGCTTTTGCAAACCTGGATTAGTTGATCTTTGCCATGAATCTTGAAGTTGAGGATGAAAAGTCACTGTCACTGTTAAACTAGTGATGCGTGTTGATTTTCAGTGCGGATCAAGGTTGGGTAGAGTTGTGCAAATCATGAGTCACTCTGGTGTAACAGTAAAACATAAGTGGAAAGGAGAAAGAAGCAAACTGAAGGGCTAGTTACACGTTTGTTAGAGCAGCTGTTTCTGTGAGAGGAAAGCTCATTTTATGGTCAGAGCTGTCTGCTGACTCCAGCGCTACCTTAAGCAAGTCATGGAGGAGGAGATCCACACTTGAGTCCTGCATTGGGTCAGGTACCTGCAGGTGACCTGCAAAGTGAGTAGGGTTTGGGTGAGAATGTGAACTACTTCACATTTTGCAGTTTGGGTGCGGGTCTGACGTTTTATTTTCGGGTTACAATCAGGTTGGAATGGAAACCTCACCACTGGCTGCTGACAGGTGTGAAAAGGTGACAGGTGGTGCAAGCAACTGCTCCGGACTCCTTTAAGAAGTGTTTGGATGCTTATCTTGCTGGGATCCTTTGACCCCAGCTGACTTCCAGCCCTTTGGGCGGGGGGCTGGACTCGATGATCTCCCGAGGTCCCTTCCAGCCCTAATGTCTATGAAATCTATGAAAAAAAAATGTGCTTTAGTGGAAGAAGCAGCATGAATGAGATCAAACATAGAAGGAAGCATGTCTGCCAAGGAGACCAAACAAAAGAAAGATCAGGGTGTGCCACCTCTGCAGCGCCAAAAAGCCCCACTGAAGTGCCCGATCTGTATGGACTCTGCAGAACCGGGACAAACTAACATGCTGCATCTTCCAGGAAAGCATGTGTTTTCCCCCCCCCGGTCTGTCAGCATTTGAACAGAATTTGGGTCAGGTCATGGGTTTGCCTAAAGCAGGTTGGGTCCACCTGTAGGTAAGAAGTTGTTGCTAATGCAAGTTGCAGGTTTGGGTCTGGTTGCATAATATCAGGCGTGGGTTAGAAATAGGCCTTTAAGATCAGACCTGTGCAGGCGTCTGATCCACACCCCCGTTCTGGTCCGTCCTGCTGGTGAATTGAGCAGAGCAGGG